TCAGGGAAACGTGGAAGTCCGCTTTTGAACACAAGCTGACATATAAATTATCTAAGCGGGCGAGTCACCAACTTCATAGGCTCAGACGGTTGGATCTGGAGGTAAATGCAACAGCTGAGGAGGAGCTTGAGAGCTTGCTTAGTGAAGGACAGATACTGAATAATCGAGTGGCGGAAGCGGCGCTTGAGACACTTGAAGAGAGGAAGCGAGAGCTTATGCACGAGATGAAGATAGAATTAAGTAGAAAGAGAGACCATGAGGTTAAAGGTGCGCAATGTTGGACGGCATGGGTGGAGAAAGAGCTTATGCTCAAGGGTGGAGAGAATTTGATGATGAAGGAATACCGCTGGTTTCGGCTAAATCTGCTGACAAGAAAAGTAAAAAAGCAACTGGAACAAGGGATGGAACAAGGGATGGAACTTGAGCTGGATCGAGAAGAAAGAGTATGGGAGTCGTACCTCAGAGTATTGAAGAAAGAAAAGATGGAGATGCATCCTTACTTTGTGAAAGAATTCCAACACAGATCAATTAACTTTGAGGATTACACGTATTTTCCAGAAGGGCTTGACGATAGCGAGAGTAAAGCCAACGAAGACATTCTCATTTATATTTCACCAGGAGGAAAATGGGTTTTAGAGGTCGATGGTTTCCGAAACAAAAATGTTTTGCGAAAAAGGAATCGAGAGCTCTCGAGTGACCATGAAACGCCGCAACGTGATATTGGAAAATTCACACGCTTTTCATTTACAAAGGATGACCTTTATCTGGTCTATTTGACCGACAATGGTTCGCTGCACGCTTTGTCCCTCGAAACAGGTACAGTTCTAACCACTGTGACCAGCAATCACATTATTTATTTCACAAAGCAACACAAGTGTGGCTTTTTGTTTTACAGCGATACAGAAGAAAAAGCCATCCTTCTTTCGGATTTATACAACCCTTTCAAGTTTATTTCAGCATCACCAGTAGAGTTGCCCGAGGTGGAAAAAGCGATCACAGCAGTCTTTTGCTCAACTAATACAGTTCTATCTGTTGGTTCCGACTTGAAGGTTTCCTTTTGGCAGACCGCTGAAGCTAAAGACGGCTCTAGCTTCATTTCTCAGTCTCTACACGACACCTCTGACATACAAGTGAAGGATTGTGCGCTTTCTCCAAACGGACAGCTTATTGCTATTCACCAAGGAAGCAAGTTAATGCTATATACCTTTACAGATTTTAGCCTTGTGGAGACTCGCACAGTATTCACAGAAGAATTTGGTGACACGATTTCGTCCCTTACATTTTCAAGCGATGGTACCTCACTCCTCTTCTGTATCCAGGCTTGGCAAAGCTTTACGCGCGGCTATGTGTGGGACGTTGTGGGGAAGTTTGTGTCAAGTAGCGTGAAGTCGCAAGCATTGGTCGCTGTTGAATGTTGTTGCATTTCATCTAGCAAACAAGAGATTATGCTGTGTGGCAAGTATCAGATAGAGATCTGGAAATACGGTGAAAGGTCTTATCACTTATCGACAACAATCCGTGTAGAGGAGATGTACCACTCCGTTAGGTTCAGTCAATGTATTGTCTCGTCTGACGACCAACTTCTTGTTTGTTGCATCGCGAACACAATTCTTGTGTATCGTCGAAGTGCATCGGACATCATCTCCTCCAAGCGAGTCCTTCTTGGCCATCTGGGTAAAATCGAGTTTTGTCGGTTTCTTAAAGAAAATCGTTATCTTATTTCCTATGGTATCGATGGCATGGTTTTCCTCTGGGATACAATCGAGTTTAAAGCGGTTGGATTTGCAAGAATTCCACTGGACACCGTCACATGTATGGCAGTGTCTCCGGATGAAGAAAAAGTTGTTTGCTATTCGTCCACCAATTTGATATGCGTGGTGAAACTCTGCGAACTGAAAAGTCCTCCCCATTAGTGGAGACGGCGTGATCGAGTGGTTCAGGGCCTGTATGTCCGGGAGTAGTAAATAGTTGCTCAAAACTTCGAAACCAACATCGATGTGCTTTCACATGTGCCATCATCCAAGGTCCGTGAGATCTGTGAGGGTTGAATTACTGTATCAATCTGTTGAGATTTGAATCTCCTCGTGGAAATTCAAAGCCATATTAGAGCGACGAAGACTTTGCTCGTTGTTTGCGCGAAGCTCTTCCACCATGTTCAGTGTTCAAAATTATTTTTGATTAGTGTTCTTTTTCGACAAAAAATTATCAGTCCCGATTATCGTTGCCGTTGTAAAGGTAAAAATTGTGGGACCCTTCTGTTCGATGTTTTTTTTATTTAAACTTTCACACGACCTCGAAAACGTTGCGATAACCTTGCTACAATGTCACTCAAGTCATGGAGGTGTTATGATCTTTTCAATGTACTATAAATAAGGTAACATCTAGAAAACTCCAAAAGAGGGCCCGTACAATCGCGCCACTACCGTTCGTGAATTTATACTTGGAAGATCTTAGTTCATAAATCCAACAGAAATACTTAAAAAGGAATTGAAAGGTTCAACAACACACAAAGAACCCATTCTTCAAAGGTAGCTTGGTGTTACTAGAGAAAATTTCAAAGTAAAGCTCTCCTGGACTCGAATTTGGTCTCTACTTAGTTTGTTCCACCTATTTATGGAAAGGTGTTTTGTAGGTTAACCATTTGTAGTTCCCTTCAAGACATTTGAGGGTTTAATTTTACCATTATAAATTGGTTTTGAATTAGATGAACGTAAGAAACCAGTTCTCAAAAGGGTATTCTATTTTCAACAAGATGCTGGAAAACGAATTTGTTTTTAAATATCTTTCTTGGTTAATTACAATATTTCGCTCTAATAACAGTAAAACGACTAGGTAAAATAAAGTCTGTGATCTATTGAAAACATGATGTTAATTACTGGAGCATGATATGATGCAGTTCAAGAGTTTTCATTGGCCGAGTCATATTGATTTGACCTAATTTATGCGCCGTTAGGATCGAATCTGAGCCAGAAGGCCCATGTACAATATTTTGTGCTATCTTTCGGTCTAAAAGCACTTTCAGTCGCGCTGGTTTGTTGTGAGATGGTAGATAGCCAAATGGAGAGTGTGACCCTCGCGGGTTAAATACCATCTCCAAACAAGCGAGCGTAAGTAGGATAAGGCAACTTCTCAGGGAGTCTGCTTGGGACGACATATATGTGAGTTATATTTACCGTAGTACAACCCTTATACTTAAATCGGGATTATTTTTATCAACCAAAGTGTTCTGGAATAGTATTCGTTAGGTCTAGAGTTAAGCTGTGAAGTGAATTTTTAGTATCTTTAGTTTTTATAGCAGGTGGACCTGCACAGCTGTAATTTGTTTCTTTATTTGTTTTTTACATAAGGGGTTTTGAATGGTCCACTTTACATACTAGCAATTGAAACAAATATGGTCGAATATAATATTACGAGATACGTTAACTATGGACTTAGATAGTCTTTATTTTTTGTCCTTTTTTATACACCATAAACTCTATAACAAAGTGCTTTTATAGGAATAGTTATGTAACAACTCAATTTCCTTGCTGCTGGTATATATGTTGTGGTTCAATTTTATCCTTAGTTCAAATTTTATTTTCCTTTGTTTCAAACTCATTATCATACATTACAATACCCAAAAACAAAAGAAAATAAAATTTGAACCAGGGATAAAATTGAACCACAACATATACAAAATAAGCTTAAATGCTTGTCTGCTATGGAAAGTAAGAGTAATTGTTATTCAAGCAGCTAAAATAGTTACATGTATGTTAACACCTATGCATTGTAATAAATTGTTTTGCAAAAGTGTACGAAATTAGTGTTCTTAACTGTGTAAATCATTCAAAAAACCTTTGATTATGTGGAAATGTTTCGCCTTTTTGATCTTCACCCCTGGTTAGTCGCCGCATCCGTAACCATTCTGGCTTCTCTTTAGTCTGTTATTAGCTCTTAAGTGTTTTTGTTCCCAGAAAAACTATCGATAAAGCTACCACTCTGTTGAAAACAGTCTCAAAATATCGTAGCTCCTCTACGACGCTCCTCGATTAAGTGCTGTAAGAACAACACCTGGCGTATCACAAAGGGCAATCAACTAGCAAGGAACAAACTGCCTGAAGCGTAGTTCAAGCGCAGGAAAACGTAAGAGACCCAGTTTGGATTGAAATTTTAAAAGATGGATGGAGTATTCCAGACCAATCACAAAATAAAAACAAAATTCATGCACACCCGAAGCACTTTCCATACTTGATTGAAATGTACTTTAATCTGTAAACCTGGTCACTAATTTGCATCGACTGTCTTCATTATTTATTCTTTATTTATCAATTGACAGTACAGCCAATGCGTTTCCGTAGCCCTTTTTGCCGGATAAGATGATTGTCTTCTTTCCTTGTGGAGTGTGGCCTGTGATCTGAGCTGATAAGCAAATTTGTGTGCCCCCTTGCACCTGATCTTCAGATTTTACCTTTCACCTCTCCTTCAAATGGATTATTGAAGGTCTCGAGCTTTCCACTGTAGTTTTAATTACTAAATGCAAAGAGGAATGCTTAGGCATTCAATTTGGTGAGAAACCAACTTGAACCAGAAATATAAGAACCGTTTGCGGTTAGCAAAGGCAGACAGTATGAACTAAGCACTCGACAACACTGTCAGTTGCACTCTTGCCTGGTTTACAAAATTTCTAAACTTATTTTGTACCACTTTTGAGGTATCAAAGCCTAAGGAACTGAATTCGCGATCTTTAGAAAATTAGTTTCTTTTCCCTTCAAAACCCCATTTGCCAATGATGTCAAGGCTCCTATCGAGAGCCCGCGTATGCAATGTTTTTTTTTCTACAATCTTTTGGGTTGAATTTCTCTGAAATCGGGCGTTTTCCAAGAGAACTGAGAGTCACACACTGATGTTACTGATATACAGCGTTGCTAACTTTATCGCACATGAAACGGGGAAAATCACAGCGCGAGTACAGCGTAATTGCATCACCGAATCTCTCCCTAAAACTTACATCTGGAAAAGTCCTCAAAAAGTCCTGTCAAAAACCACTAAGTGGTGGGGTGTAGGGATGGACATCACCTTTAACGTAAATTTAACTCTTCTGCGGATTTCATTTGTTGCTTATTTCACTAAGGATTATTTTGGAAAATGAAGGCTCATGGCTATCGGAGTGATCACGATGCGCAAATACTTGCAAGTACTATTCGCCTCCGAGCAGTAGAAGAGACAAAGTCACGCCTCAAGTGTTTAATTCCTGACCATTTCCTGACATATTTACAGAAATAAACTAAATTTTTGTTTCTGCGTGGTGGTATATACCACAACAATTGTTCAATTCTATTTCTGCGAATAATTGTTGAATATTAAAACTCTTGGCTGAACATTTCTTTATCGCGTTTGAGGAGATAAAAACTAAGTTTGGCTGGTATTCTTGATAAAATATACCATCTTGCCACAGCTGGAGGTTAGATTTATTTCCATTTTTTTTAGTCAATTGTCTCATACTTTGAACTGGCAAATCGCCTCAAAATATATGACATTTGCTGATTGTCTTGGCGCATTTATCCGTCTCAGTTTTCGTGTCGCACTCACTGTCTGATGAAGTGTCGCAAAATCACTATGAAAATTTCGCTTACTAAGGCGACGAATGTAATTTGATTTTAAAAAGCTTTCAGGAAACCGCAATAAATAACCTCGTTTACCTATCATTAAACTAAGAGATGCTAGATGCTCTCCAGCAATGGACATCTATTCTTATGTCTGAATGGTATTCTTTCGTGGAATGTGAGCAATTTGAGCTTTTTGATGAGCTCAGTTTTTTTGTCACCCATTAAAAATGTCAAACAACTAAATGAAAACACATTAATAGAGCCCATTATAAACTCATTTTTTCTCTGTGATACTGAAGTTATTTTTACATATTTGAAACTGACTTAGATGGATATTTTCAGTTGGTGATCTACCACGTCTTGCAAGCCAGGTAAACTGTGTGTTAGCTGTCCATCGTGGCGTGATATGCAGCACCTGATTGCTTATTCGTCCAACCATGATTTGCCTCTTTCTGATGACTGGATGCAAAATGCTGCTGGGCTCTGGGGTGAGATCATCATTTTACCAAAAAGACTGAAGTTGAAAAAAACGTACCGTGAGGAGAATCAGATTTATGATCGTTTTCACCCCCGAGTCCCTTGTGAAACTAAGAATCTCATACCCTTAATTTACAATTTTGCAGTCGGATGCTTCTCCAACTGAGCTACAGAAAACTCTTTGTTTAACCAATTATATAGTATTTAACGTTCGCCCAGAAGAGTTAGGATAAATCATATGCTCATTATCGTTTACAGTTAGTAGTTACTTTGGATTTGGACTCATGGATGCAGCGGCTTTGGTAAACTATTCCAGGGCTTGGCATACAGTGCCAGAACAGATCAAATGCGAGATTCCTCGGTCCAGACTGAATAGGCAATAATGAATTTTACCGAGAATTTTGCCATGATTGCACCTCTACCTTTATTAGGTTGAGCATACTGAAAAAGACTGGCTTTGCTAGCGGACAAGGTGAAGGGTGCTGTAGATTATTTTAGGACCTCCCTAATCGAGCAATCTTTTGATTTTTGTACTTTTTTTTCGGTTGAAAAGCTCAAATGAAAGTTCCACTTGTCTTTTCGAAGATTGTGCACAATCAAGTTAAAAAAAGCTAAAACACATGAAGCAAAGAAATCTGTCGGGCTTCATAGCCATATCCCGGTTATAAAATCAAAGGCTATTATGAATTAAGGTGTGAAACTTGTCACAGTAACTGATGCTTCTATTTTGCAGATTTTTGGGGCAGTATGGCGACACGGAAGTGACTCTGAACGTGTCCAAATATAGCTGTGGTGGCGAGAACACCATCCAGTACTTGGAACACGTGGTCGTTATAATTCAGGCCAGGTTTGACAGGCGTGGTTATCTTGAAGGGTATTTGACCTCGCCTCGAGGGACCACATCCCAGATCCTTCCCTATCGTGCAAATGACGTAATTGCGACAGATTTCAATAATTGGCCGATGCTCAGCCTGCAGTTTTGGGGAGAAAATCCTGAAGGGACTTGGAACCTAAGGTTCAGGAGCCATTTTCCAGCCCACGGATTTTCAGGTAAGAGGGCTTTACTGATTCCTTAGCACAATTGCAGGAAACATCACAACAAATTTTTGACAGCCACTTCAACATCGCGATGTTGTGGTGAATGGAGCTAAATACCGAACCTTGGTATTACGACCCCCCTTACCCCCCCCCTCTCTTTGAACGCTGCACAGAAGCGGAAGGTTATGAAAGTTTTTGCTACGTGAACTACACGTCTTGGATAAGCTGCTAATCTAATTAAGATTGCTCTATTGCTTTCTGTTTTTACATTTTTCAGGTTATTTGTTTAATTGGACCCTTGTTCTTTACGGAACGGCTAGTGATCCGTTGGAAAAGAATCTTCATGAATCAAGACCTTTCACCACGAGGATAAGTGAGTAGATGCCCATATACCGTACACTTTATTCCCAAAACGTTGGCCTAAGAGTTTTACGACTTGAGTCATCAGTGAAAAAATTACAAAGAGTTATTTTTGGTGACTGTTCGTAAGCTGTTAGAGTGATCCATCTTTCGATGACAGGTCTCAAATCGCTTTACAAACAGTAAATGCATTCACTGATTTTCTTAGCGTATTTTTGAACAGTTACGGTGCCTGTTCCCCACCTTTTTCTTTCATCATTCGAATTAAAAGGAGCTACGTGAGTTTTTTATATTTCAAAATTTGCTCTCAATTTTTTCCAAGAGTGTCATTTTAAATCCGTTTTAATCTTGGCTATCCGAAACATCCTTGTTTCTTTTTGGTTTATTCTCACATCTTCAATGTTTTTCTTTCCTTGCAAACTGATTATTTTTATGATGAGTGGCAAAAGTAATCGGCACGCCTCCTCTAACTAGGAGGTCGACCACCCTCCACTCAACATATTAAACGAAATTATTGTAATTTGTCTCCAATAAGTTACATGGAAGTCCTCTCCCCCCCTTCCTCCCAAACAATGTTGCCTAAAATTAGTGAGAATTTTGTTGAGATCAGGCATGAAATAGGAGTGAGGGTGAGAAAAACGAAAGCTATCGAAAAAATCATTAAGTAGTAGAGCGTGCTCAGAATCTTGCCACTCATTTTATTTCTATTAGAATATCGTCGCATAGATTCTTTGTTACTGTATCTTATCTCAAAAGGAGTCCTCTCCTCAAAAACAGCGATTCTTTTCCTTCATGTGGAAATGATTTCTCCCCCTGCAGACCCTTTTTGAATAAAATTTTTACTCAATTGCTTTTACGAAATAAAAAGTTTTCTCCTTAAGTGTTTGGACCATAATGTCTGGAGGGATTTTTAATTGGAGAAAGTAATATTATTTTGCGAGTGAAGTTAAAGTTTACTTTTTTTTTTCCTTAATGTTTAGGGATTGAGGTAACATGCTTTTAATTGATATTTTTATCCCCTACACATGTTAGCAGACGTGACCACAAGTACAGAAGCCATGCCGGGTACTGTTGCTCCTGTTGCTCGCCATGAAGGTGAACATGTCAGCTTTATTTTTTATTGTTTCTCCAGCGTAATAGAGATACATCGTTTGACCCGTTTTATTATTGGCACTGCCTCTAACAAAATTGCCTGACCCCCGTCATTACCTTGTGCATAACATCAATGACCGATTATGAAACAACAAAATTATGTGCTATATTAAAGTTCGCAAGGCAACCAGGTGGACAATCAGACATGGTTTGATGCTACTCTGGTTAAAAGATTTAATGCTTGTAACCGAGAAGTTACAATTCATAGACCTAACGTTTCGACACTCTTGTCTAGTGTCTTCATCAGGGGTGGAAACTCTTCGTCAGGGGTGGAAGCCCGTAATGAAGGCACTAGACAGAAGTGTCGAAACGTTGGGTCCATGAATTGTAACTTCTCGATTACAATCATTAAATCTTTAAATCAGAATAGCATCAAACCATGTCTGATAATTATGTTTGTTTCGGTAAAATGTTACTGACGAGAACACTTTTTGACGCCTATTATTCGAGAAGTGAATTTCAGTCAGGAATTATCCTGGAAATATCTCCCAGTTTACGCCTGCTGCAAATTCCCGGACTTTCCAGACAGAATAGATAAAAGTATCCAACTACAAACACTCCTTTACTACCGTGACCCGAATAAAGTCAATCTAGTCAATGGTTTCTTGTGCATCGTGTCATCCTCGTGCTTAACCAAAGTTTTGTTGTGTTACAGGCTTGTCTAAGACAGAAATAGCTTTGATCAGCAGCGCCGCCGTTCTTGCTTTGATTATTGTTATTTTAGCTTTGGCTTATTGTAAGTTTGGAGTTTGTCGACGAAAATCAGGGGCCGATGAACCATCCAACCACATCAAATTTTCAGCATTAAGTCGCACTTCGACAGAAGCTGCAAGGAAAGAATCTATGCAAAGTGTTTAACTGAATGAAGCAGGCAAATTATTTCCACGTTCGGTAACTGTTCCTACTCTTGACAGTACGTAGAGGAAGGAATGGCACAAAGACAAAACGTTTGTAAACCGATCTCTCAGTGATACTCTTGAGGATGAGTTAGGTCTTGAGAAGATTTGGAAATGAATCAGAAGGAAAACGGGTTTCCGAAGTGAATATTGGTGGTCTAGTTATGAGAAGGATGAGGTCATTATTACAATGCATAGCGACAAATGTTAGTTATAAAAAGAAAATAAATGAGGAAATATTTAATGATGTTACAGTTGTGATTTAGCGTCTAGGAGAAGCTGGTGAGGAGAGATATTCGATAGATAGATAAATAATCTTTATTTACCCACGGACAATTCATCAGCTATAAAAACATTCAAATATATAAACATGCATTAAATGGATAAGATACCATAAAAACTATACTTAAAGCACAAACCCTACTAGAGCTGCTTTCTACGAATGCCTTGCCTGAACGTACTTCTTTAATTAAACGCTTAAATAACCCAAGGTACTCTGCTTGTCTTATGTCACGAGGAAGTCTGAGTCTGTTCCAAAGAGTGGAGCCACTATAGCTAAAGCTATTTTTGTAATAGTTTATGCGCGGCAAAGGAACATTAAGCTTATTCTCAGAGTCTCTTAGGTTATACGTAGTTTCTCGTCTTTCAAGTTTAAGACATAAATAGTCTGGAACTAAACAGTGCAAAGACTTATAGACCATTGTGGCTCTTTGTATTTGCTGCTGAGAAGCTAGGTTTTTTCCATCTCAGGAGCTCAAACAATTGACCAGCATCGGCGTCATAATTGTAATAAGTCAAAACACGGGCTGCTCTGACTGTTTTGTAGCTTCTGTACCTTGTTCTGCAAAGTTATCCCACAGTTTCCCCAAACAATATTACAATAGTCAAAATGTGGCTGAATCAAAGCTTGATATATTAGAACCAAAGTCGCTCGAGGGACAAGGTGCCTTATTCGTTTTATAGCCCCAATGCCAGAAGCGACTTTCTTTGTTGGTTTAGCGATGTGACTGCTCCAATCGAGTTTGTTATCGATGGTCACTCCAAGTGATTTTGCGGTGGTAACCTGGCTAACTTGATTGTCATAAATTGTGATCGTCGGAGAAACTGCGAGAGTACTTAATCTCTGCCATGAACCGATGAGTATTAAATCGGTTTTAGTCATATTTAAGGTAAGTTTGTTCGCTCTCAACCGATTGAGAATATATTCTAAGTCTTGACCAAATTCGAGACCAAAATAAAATTTACACCGAAGAGTTTGATTATCAATTGCTTGTTGAAATATGCTGTGGCTGATTTGGATGACTTTACCACTGAACATCTACATTTCATAATTTTCTGAATTCGTGTAATTCAGATTCAGATTGCGTTTTTCATCCATTGGAAAGTGTATGAAAGTGATTTTACTCGTGATAAGAATACAATGTGAGGTGCAGATGGCTTAATCTATCAGGTGAAAGGTTTTGATGTGTTGCTGTCATCGCCATCAGTGGAGTTCTTTCAATGAAAAGATAACAACCCCTTGTTTCTTATTTAAGTAAAACACGAACGCTCACCTTCTAACCACTGTGAAATACTCTTAACATTAAATGATTTTCGTAAATAAACTCCCGGTTACTAAATTGTTTAAGTAAACTCCTAAGTAACCTGAAGGGATTTCAAATAAAGTGGAACGTCACTTTTAGGCATAACTAATTCTACATATTTCAAAGGCACAAATAAATCTTAGTGTCAAATATTTTACCTTATACTGGATGTACTGGAAATGAGATTTCGACTCAATCAGCGCCATCGACTTTGGTGGAACACGATACGGCCTAAAAGTTAGCATCCAAAGAAGTCAAAGAACCTCACGAGCTGACCCTCAGTTAGGAGGTCTGGATTGGAGCCCTGAACCGAGTCCTAAGGCCAGAATATTAGACCTCTCAAGACTGGTAATAAACCAATTTAGTTATTCGATTAAGGCATTTACCCCGAGAAAGAGTTTAGGGGGCGATAGCTGGAAATATATTCGTGTAGATTTTCAAACGAAATTTCTTTTTTCAATTTTTGGCTTTATTTTTACATATCTGTTAACTCTCGCTAGAGTTATGGTTAAGAGGGTGTCGGAGGAAGCAGGAGGGGCTCTTAATGAGAGTTTTGTGTGCCTTACACATAGAGGAAATGAGCGTATGTAAACAATAACGAGGACATTCCCAAGCAAAAGATTATTTAAGAAACAGTTCATAATCTCTTTTTTTCCCAAGTGATGACGAAATTCTGCCTGAGGCAATTCGAACTCTGATCATTGATATTTCCAAATTCGAACTCTAAATACATGGACAGCTACTGGGAGAGCTGAAATGAAGAATTTTAATTTAATTTTTAATTTAATTCCACACACTTGATGTGGAAAAAAGACACCAAACCTATCACTGTTTGAAAGTTCTCAACCCACCGTGCGTTTACCCAGCTTGCACAGCAATCCTAACGATTTATCGTTTGTAAGCGAGGCTGAAACCAGACTCCATCCCGGAAGTGGTGTTCGATTTCGATAATTGCAAGCGAAGCAGGGTTTGGAAATTGTAATTCGCGTTGCAGAACGAACACATTGCAGAATCTTGTAGAGAAATGGTAAGTTCGTTAGTGTTTGCTGTGAATAGCAAAGTAAGATTCCCAAGAATGTTAAGACGTAAAACACAATTTGGCAAGGAGATAGGGCCTGGTGTTTCTGTCGTTGTCGCGCATGCAGTAAACAGATTCCTTATACAGCATTACTCTTAATAATTTGGCGATTTCGTAGGATTTCTGCACAGTCCCATACTTCATAATGCATACAGCTCTTGGATAAGGAAAAAAATGGCGAAATAATACATTGCTTTTGAAACTACGGTTTCTGTTTTGGTTGATCATATCCACATGTATTTTGCGCTTTATAAGTAATAAATATTATAGTACAGATCATTGCGGTGTCATCCAAAACTAGGCATATACTAAAACCCGAAACAGCGAAACGAAACAAGCGAAACGAACGAAACGAAGCAACCGAAACGACGAAAATGAAACGATCGAAACGAGAAGAGAACAATCGAGAGGAGCGGACGATGAAATGCCGAAGAGAATGAAGATTTCAATTCAGATATTCTCTAGTAGTTACAAAAATTGATTTCAAGTCAACCTTGATTTAAAAAAAAGCAGTTCTTGCGCATTTTGAAAACAACCATGATTTCAAGGCAACTTGAATTTTTTCTCAATGACTCACGAGTTCTGAAGAGGGTGTGAATATTATTATCTTGAACGATTCTCTTGTCGCGCCATCGGGGTATTACAAGTGTATCTGTTCTTTATGAGAAGCTTCTTTGATACATGTTAAGTTTTTTCAAACCCACAAGTGCAAGTTTCAAAAAAGGGCCGAAATTTCGGGAAAAAATATGTCAATTGTTGAAGTTAACCGATAATTCACAAGCGCGCATATTTTTGATAACACATGTCTTAACCAAAATTCACCTGTCTTTTTAATTTTACAAAAGCCCACTTGAAGACGTCAGAGTTGTTATGGAAACTTTTTAAAATTAATATTCACAAAATCTTTCACCAATGAAAACTAGTCTGTTGCACCAGACAAGTTTGATCCTTGAATAAGGTAACTGTGTAGTGGGCTATAGGAATTTCATTTTCAATCAAACATTTGCCTCTTTCAAAGCTTGAACTGTCTCAAAAACAACTTCACGAATTTCTCTTACATATTTCGCGTGGGTTTTTTTATTTTTATTTTGAAACACTCGCCTGTCTTATTTGTCTCCCACGAAAGATTTCATAATGGCAGACACCAATCTATTTTAAAAATCCTCAAGTCTGCCATTACAAAATCTTTCATGTTGGGGTAATGATCAATAGTTCTTTCAATAAATTGCTCCAAACAGTTTACAAATTGTAGAAACCCCTTGTTATATATTTGAAAGATAATTATTCTTCATCATTACTCAATTGAAATATAGTTATTCTCCATCATTATGAAACTGGAAGATAATTATTCTCCATTGTTGCACAACTGGAAGATAATTATTCTCCGTTGTTACACAACTGAAAGATAATTATTCTCTGTCATTACTCAACTGAAACAATTAGTTATTCTCCATCATTGCACAACTGAAAGATAATTATTCTCCATTGTTACTCAACTGAAACATAGTTATTCTCCATTGTTGCACAACTGAAATATGATTATTCTCGGTCATTACACAACTGAAAGATAAATCTACTCTGCCATTACACAACTGAAATATAATTATCTTCCATCGTTACTCAACTGTGTTACCACTTCAGATTACCAAACTTTAACATATATTGGTTTACCTCAGGGGTCAGTTTTGGAACTTACATCTTTGTCTTATATTTGTATTTAGATAATTTGATGAAATGCTCCAATGTTAAAATCAGGAATTTTAGGAATTTCTTTCCTTTTGACTGATTAGGGTATAATTTCTAAATCTGGAGGAATATGTTTCCACACATTTTTTGACCACATCTAAAGAGTGGTTTTTTTGGTGGTTTTTCTTGTCTGGTGTGGCACAGCTTCTTTTTATAGAACCCCTAGTTTCAGGGTGCACATATTAAGATTGTATCTGGATGCTTATACTAGAAGACTGACTTCCTCATCCTAAATAAACTTTTCACATTGAATGTCTCATGTGAGTGTAGTCAGAATTAAGTATTACTCACAGGCCTCTAATAATTCCATAAACATATATTAAGGAACACTCTTAGCAGCACTTCAAGGAACCTGATATCTTAAAATTACTCCATTTTGTTACCCTTCACATTGTACTTTTCATGAAGATCTCATGCCCATCATCTTTAGAACTCTTTCTCAGACAGTAAAATCAATACATTCACCCAATATTCAACTTGCATTGAAAGCATTTTACTATATCAGTTCCTTGAATTAAACAACAGAAACTGTATAACAATTTCATTGAGGCCTTCAGCTGCTGTAATTAAAATAAAAATTAAATAAAAAGAAGCCTCTGAGAATTCACTGATCCACAGCATCATCCCCAAAGGCTCAGAGTTGTTTTTAATGTAAGTAGTTTAAGGCCTCACTGGAAACTATTGTACCATTTGGAAATGCTTTTGAAGGACAGAAGGACAGCATGAAACAATTACTGAACTACAGAAAGGTTAAAAGCTGCCTCCCAGTAGCAGAAGTATAGAATTGAAAAGTCTGAAACAGTCCCTGTGATTAGCAGAAAACCATTTCTTTACTTTATTTCTTAAATTAAAATTTTAGAATAAGAAGTTGATTAACACCAGAATGAGAATAAATTTTAATTGGTCCTCAGAAATAAGAGTTAAGGATTGAATGTTGGTGCAGTGCATAATTGCCCTATAACCAGAGTAAATTTCCTTTTTTTTGGTAAATTGATTTGTCATAAAATGAGCACAACAACTAATAATCAAGGGTTTTTTTCCTTGGGTATGATGATTCCTTTTCAGTCAGCTATCTGTAAGACATGGAACTCATTGATTATTTGTCCAATTTTGTTTCTATGCAGAGGCATGAAGTCCACCGTTAAGTGACAAAGACATGATAGTTTGAGGGATAATGGCAACAGCAGGAGCATCAGGAGGGTAAGATAAGCTCTACATTTATTTATCGATTTATTTATTTATTTTTTGAGTGTTATAGATCTTGATTGCAATCTTCTTAAATTGCATTATATTTAACATCACTTGCTTCAATTATACCTTGTAAAGAACCTTCTTTCAACAATCCTGTTGATGCATTAAAGTTGTTGAACACCCCAATGATCAATACCTCTTAATTAACATTTTTAATGTACTTAATCAGAGAAAGATTGTGATTAAATAACTTAAATGCTCTATATGATTGCACGGTTATCTGAAGAGGTGTATTAAAAACAGTTTAATAAGATACAATTTTTATGTAATGGAATCTAGGATTTCCAGCAACTGCACCTGTAATATTCATAGGCTTCCCTTGCAAACTGAATTCCCAGTTTTCTGGGAATTCTTAGGAATTCTCAAAATTCCCAATTATGCAAATGACCCTTGCAAACTGAATTCCCAGTTTTCTGGGAATTCCTGAGAATTCCTAGGAATTCTCAAAAATTCCCAACTATGCAAATTAACTCTGATTTAAAAAGCTTGGAATTACTGGGAATTTCTGGGAAAGGAAGACTCCAGTTTTGTGAGGACTTGGAATCCCTAGGAATTCCTAGGAATTCTCAGCTATACAAACTACCTATAATTTAAGAAGTGTGGAACTCTTGGGAATTTCTAGGAATTGAATTTGAGGCAATTTAAATACCCTGAGGTCCACATAAATTCTAAGAAATTCTCAATACCTTGAATGTGAAGGTTTTAAGAAAAGAGTAATTTCAGAGGCTTAAAACTTTAGCTCAATAAAAGGTATGCTATACAAAACTTGCCAAGAGATATACATACATGTATATGTTTATAATTAAAGATTATGAAATTTATTATTCAAACTAAGTTTAGTAAATCTTTACATTAATATGGATTTTCTCATGATCCAGCCATCAGTTATGTTAAATGGAAATTGCCAATTAATCCAATGTACTCATATCACAGATTTGCTTTCTAACTTCAAAGGACTCTTGGATTCCATGATCAAAAAATATTTTTATTGTGATGCAAATTAATGTCTCATGTTCACTGATGTGCCAAAATCGTCAAATATTCATTAGCTGTTCCTTGGTACACAACTTCCACCATAATTAACAATAATTACATTGTTATCTACACTTAAAGAACTTTGTTAGTTATGAACATAAGTTACTTCCCTAACCTACATTACTGGTTGCCTTTGTTAGAAAACCTTGGAACAGTCAAGCTCAGTTGCCTCAAACACTGTCAGAGACTTTTAGTTGACAATATTTTTAGTAGAAATTTCATGCCTTAGACAAACAAATTCAACACCTAATTAATCTTTCTTTTTTCATGATTGTTGTTGCTGTTTTTTTTTCAGTTTTTGCTCTGTTTTCGTGACTAATTGCTGTAATTTGTTTTGCTGTTTTTATTCTTACAAAACAGTTTTGTAAGAGTTCCAATACTTGGGGATCATCCACACACTTTGCAAACATTTGGCATGCAGACAAGACAGAGGTAGTCAATGTTCCCATTGAGAAAAAACACCTTTTAAATGATGTCTTCAATTCACTTTATTTGAAACTCTGATCTGAAAATATTTGTCAACAAGACTTGTTAGTAGTGAGAAGTACAAACCAAGTTTCCTTTCATAACTTAATTTCTCAAATGTCCCAATCACTGGATCTCCCAAAAAATATTACATCTTTTATTTTTGGTGCAAAATACAAGTCCTTCTTTATATGAAAATGAAAAATGCAATTCACACTTCAATAATAACAGCTCTAAAGTTTACTTGTTGTTCTTCTCTGTCTGTCAGCTATCAACAAAATTGTTTTATACTTCGGACAGTGCATAACTATTTGTGGACCAGAGTTCCAACGCACCTCTGTAATCGCATATAGTTACTTCTGTCTCTTGTACAAATGTTTCTCCTTTGTAAGACGCACTCTACTCTGTTGTCACCGCTGCTTTAAGTTCAGTGGCAACGACTGACTGAGGAATCGAGGTGGCGGTGTTGGAACGTGTTGCTGAACGCTTGCTGCGGTCAAGCTTTGTAGATTTAGGTACTGGTACACTGGGATCATCTATGTATCTCTTATACTTCCTAATGTGGTATCCTTCTTTTATAAATATGAGGGTAAAAGACGATTTGTAGTCGCATTCGAAACTGTGATTGACTTGTGTTTTTTCTCACCTTTGCCATGAACACAACTCAAGTGAGTTTCGAGTCTTTGTTTCCTCGACAACTTACGGCCACAAATCGTGCATTTGTAATACGATCGATTCTTGTCGATTATTTCTACATAGAGTGAGCTCACATCATTATTTATATCACCAAGGTATCCATCGTCTAGAAGCAGAGAATCGGTCGGAGAAGTCAGAATAAAGTTGTGCGCTTATCTCAACACTGCAAACGACAAGCCAGCGGATTCACTTTGCTAGCCAGTTACAAGTCCTAAAAGATCCACGTGATCATGCCCGTGATCGGAAATAAAGAAGACTCCATTTGGCGCTCATCTTTGAATGTACTTTTCATCGGTTGATCGGTTTTTCTCAACTGTTTTGCTTAATATAACATTTCTGAAGATAGCTTTTATTGTGGTTCAATGGGAAAACGAGAACAGCGTGAGTGTTGTAAAAGAAAAGAAAGTCGTTGGCGCCGTGGAGTTAAAAGAAGGGACAACAGTTGACATATTGACTTGTACAAACAAGGGTCGAGTGGCCATCTGTAAAACTACGATTTTGAAAGTTTGTGGTGAGTAAAAATTGCGATATTTGTTACGTGATCAAAATGTTATATAAGAATAGATGTAGCGGGTTGAATTAAGCTTACATAACGCTCGGCGCAACTGAAACTAGAATAATTCTGAGAATCGAATCGGTCACTTGCATGCCGCAGTTTCTTAAGATTATGCTTTACAATGAAATAAACCTATCAGTAAGGTTTCAAGATTCCTCTAGTCACGTTTGGGAACATTCAAGATTCATAATAGGAACTCTTATTAAAAAAAACCTTACTACATAAAGAAGCCCTCCTTGGTAAAAACAAAATAATGTATTCAGCCCTTTTTTAGTAAAATCTATGAGAGAGATGTACTAACTCCAATATAAAAGTCACTCAATATAACAGAGATTTCTCAATTTGAGAATCCAATGAATGCCCTTTTCCTCATAGCCATCTTAAAAGCCTGGTCTGAGCCTTAAATATATATATTTAAATATATTATTTTTTTTCAAATTCAGATGTCATGGAATCAAGATACAAAATGGTCAAGCTTCTTGTGGACAACCTCATTCAAGGCCAACTCATTGTGAGCCCAGGAAAAAAATACAAACAGCAGCTAAGTTTGCAGTTTAGGATAACTTCATTCTAATTTATTGTTACAGTTACAACAAGATTTTAATCAAAAAATCAATTTTATTTGTCTGTAATTAACCCCTTCACTCCCAAGATAAGATATTTTATTGTTTTTTTAGAGGGCACGGTAACGAATCTTGCAATCTGATTGGTTCTTTACCCGGTCAGTATTTTCCTATCTCTGCCCACGGGCCAAGGTAACGCTTTCGTGAGTCGCCGAGTACATCCCAACTTTCGTTGTCATTTTTCATAAATATACCTCGTTTTCCGGCTGGGCAGTATTTTTAAGCAAACACTTCGGTCACTACCTCAAGCCGATAAATAACTTATGAATCCTCTCTTTTCTCTCTCTCAAATCACTTTGGTTGACAGAAAAATATTGGTTTCAGAATGAATTTGTATAAACAATAGTGTCATTACGTTTGTTGACAAGCGGCCTAAAAACCGTCTGCAATTAATTTTAATCGTTCACAAAAAGTACCCAGAAAGTTGAAACGTGAGGTATTTGGTTACAGTTAAACTGAACGATGGAACTTTCATTCATTTAATATCTGAATTTTCTCGAGCAATTTGTTCATATTGAAAGAGCGAGCGAAGTTTTAATTTAAGTTCTACAACAAATATACGCTCCTGGTGAGTCTTTCCAATTCCGTTCAATTTGGACATTTGTACCTTAAATTGCACAACAGAAATTGAAGGAATTTTTTGAGAAAAGGTCGCATTACATTCCCTTGTGTCTCGTTGGAGTGTGCCGTTCGAATTTAGTTTTTGTGAAGGAAAGATCAGAGTTAAACACGCCATTACAGCAAACAAACGAACAAACTCTCACAACTTCAAAATAAAAAAATTGAATTTACTCACAATTACTTTCCTCGCCGTTTACTTAATGAACAGAGGTAAATCTTCGTACATGAATGAATGGTCGATGAGAGTGAATAATACTTTCCGTTAGATCATTAACTGATTTTGAAGAAAACATTGTCGTGACAGTCCTTGCCAAACTAAGTTCTTTTGGTTTTCAAATGTTCCTACGCTTTTTTTTTTCTTGCGCGCTCTCTAATTGACAGGTGTCAGATTGTGACAGATACTTGTAAAAATAATGTTTCAAAGTTTGTTTGGAAGCCTTTTAAATCACCTTTATCGTTACGGAAATGAAAATGTTTCGCTGAGGCATCTCTCTTAAATTTGCATCACCTCTGTTTTAACTACCATTTACTCACTCAAAAATTGTTCAGTTTATGGAAGATCTTGCCGTATTTACGGCCATAAATCATTCGGGTTCTTTCGGAAAGAATTTCGTCAAGTTTAAAAACAATAAATATGTTATTTACCGGCTAAGGGTCGGTCCGTATGGTGAAAAACTGTGACCTCGGTCACAGTTTTTCACCATACGGACCTCCCAGCCGGCAAATAACATATATGTATTTTATGGAAAAGAATCAACAGATTTTATTCACAATTTGTGTCAAACCAAATTTAATGATTGATAAGGACTATTTTATATAAATAGCTGTAATTGAGGATTAATCTGTATGAAGTTTTCAAGAAAAGAAAAATAAATCAAATTCCATTCTAATATTACCACACGTTGATGTTAATAATTCATCAAAAATATTTTACATGTAAGCCTTAATTAAGCTTCTAAATAAATTTCATTGAATACTTGAATTTTAGCCGGGTTTTTTTTAATTTAAAGTATTTATTTTATATCATTAGCCTCAAATTTTTGCTTAAAGTTCCCAGTAATTCTTAAACATTCCTTAAAAATTCCCAAAAATCCCAGAAATTCCTAGGAATTTTTTAGATTTACAGCTTTTCAGGGAAAGTCATTGGTTCTCTGAGTTGGAATTCCTAGGAATTCTAAGTCCTGTTGGCTATAAACTTGGAATTTCTGGGAATTTCTAGGAATTTCTAGGTTTTTAGAATTCCTAGGAATTCCCAGTCCGAATTTACAGTGAAAATTCACACCTTTATTCCTAGGAATTCCTAGGAATTCCAAAAGCCATTTCGCAAGGGTTTGACTTAATGCCTGAAAAAGAGGTCAATTGAAAAGAAAACACAGTGGGAAAGATTGCCAAAAGGCAACAGATTTGAAAGTTTACCTATAATCAGATACCGATCTTGGCAAAGTTCTATTCCATTGTGTTAAGTTTTACAACAATGAAAATAGGAATCTTTCAAGTTAGATTTATCATGTTTCCTTTGATGGAATTTCCTAAGATTTGCTGGACTGTTAAACTTATTTGTGCCCTTTCTAGTGCCTTTTGATTAAAAAAATACAAGACCAAATTTGAGATAGAGGAAGAAAAGATAAAATTGCAAATAGTCAGGAAACTGCCTTTTTAACCCCTATTTTTTTCTGCTTTTAAATGATCAGCAGGACGATTTCACAAATTGCAAACAAGGCTGTGCTCTAGCGGCGCCCGGTCGCTTCAGGCGACTAACATTTGGTCTCGGGCGACTGAAAAAGAAAAGCGGTCGCCCGTCCGGGCGCATAGATTTCAGCTTGTGTGAAAACCCGAAACGAAACCAGCAAACGTATAGAAACGGAACGGAACGAAACAAAAAGAAACTCCATCGTGCTCCCCGGCTCCCGTTAGCCCGAAAAGCAAAAGCGCTGAAAGCGTAATGCAATCAATAGCCTGTGTGATCTGTACATTTAGGTTAAATATTTAGTTAGGTCATGGGTCTTGTTTCGCTTCGGTGGTTTCTCTTCCGGTTTATTAATATAGTACATGGCCCAGGTTTCTTGTCCATTGAACGACGCGATAAAGCGAGCAACTGATTTTAACTAACATTTTATAATTTTACTTGCTAATTTGATGACATTTGCAGAACTAAAAAATATTCGGCAGGACAACAACAAGAAGTTGTCGCGTGTGTTATGTAATATTGTTTCACATGATTTAGCACGAAAAATTTTTTTTCCTTGCCCGTGAGAAACTGCACGATTTTTGCACAAGCATGTGTTGAAGATCTAATTTTTCTATTGAAGTGGCTGATTCTTATATTTAATTTTTGTGTTTCAACAGTTTCAATAGTGGAGCGCTTGATTAATAAAACGAAACCGTCCTCTATGCTATTTAATTAGCTTCGTCCGTGGCATGCAAGATGTTTATCAGCACCATATTTGGCGACCTGGGCGACCTACTTGTCGTGGTTAGGCGCCCGAAGGGCGCCCTGAAAATTTTCCTAGTGCACAGCCTTGGCAAAAAATTTGAGAGATTTCACCAAAGCAAATTGAAGAAAATCAAAGGCAAAGCCAAATTATCACTGGCAAGCACCTCCCTTCATGCAGCCTTAGTTTAATAACAAAGATCATTTCGATAACATCAGCAAACGATAGTCCAAACCTTGCTTGTTGCCTTTTAATGGCTTTTAGTGACCTTCAAAAGTGAAAACATCAAAATCTTTTTAAAACTCATAATGCTGACGCATGCCTAAGCATTGAGCAAAAACCCTGTGGAGCCTCCTTAAAGGAGGTCTCTCTGTTTCTCAACCATTGGTTTGAAAATATACCCTTCTCTAGGCATCACATTCAGAAATTCTAAATCCTATCCAAGATTGTAATGTTTGCAAATATGGCAGCACAAAACCATGTTCCTTAGTTTTTCCTTAGGTTTTCCTCCCCTCCTCTCCTTGGGAGGGTGGTACATGCCTGTAGCATATGTTTGGGAGTATCCCTCCCCCCACCTCCTCCATTGATAAGTTTGAGTTTTGATTAACACATCATTTCAAACCTCAAAGACTAATGGACCATAGTCTGTGGTGATCTCACATTTTAAACACAAAGGATCACTTGTTGTTCTTTGCTTAACTGTTGGATTCTGAACCTGCAGTCCAAACCAATGATGCAAATTTAAAGTCCACCCATACACCACTTGGATTTGACATTGCAAAAATATTGGCACATACCTTTTATTTATGTATTGAATTCATAGATCCACACTACACAGTGTTACAGAAAACCAGAAGCGATGGTTGGTCTTTGGAATTGCACTGAGCAAAGTTCTAGTTTCTCAAATACGCCCTTTTGTAGAAACAGAAATCCAAAAACAATATGGCAACCTTCAAACTAGCCATGGTATTCATACTCAGAGCACATCAGGGCGTCTTAAGCATTGGCCAAAGTTCTTAAAGTATGAGAACATTAATGGTAATGATGGAATTCCTAAACTGCCTTCTGGAAAGTATGACTTCTCCAAGTTTGATTGCCGAGTGATGTCACATGTTGACTTTGCTAAGTTGTATGTGGAGAATCATATGGCTAAATTCAATGCGTTTGATGAGTTCTGTGATGCATCAGCCATCCTGGCACTGCTTGGCAGAGTCCCAGTGTTCTCTGTTGATGTACAAAGTGCAGCAGGTGCTGTAAGAGAGGCTAGGAATGCCTGGGCGCACTGTGCATTCTCTGAATGGGATCCTGTGAAATATCAACAAAACTTTGCTGCTATGGAACAGCTTGTTAAGAAACTTGGCCTTCCAGGTTCCAGCACAAAGGACCTTTTAACAGAGCTAAAGAATTGGGAGGAAAAAGGTATCTTCTTTTATTTATATTACATTTATTTTCTTTAATTGTTGTTATTAATGTATTTGTGTTTAGAGGTGCACAATATTTCGACATCCTTGCAAAAATAAAAAAAAAAAAGTTAAAATATACTATCACAATAAGTGATGTAGTGTAAATGAATAGTTGATTAGTGTGAGTAATCATGCAAACAGCTAAATGGATGGTTCAAACTCGCTTGAGTGGATTGCGTTTATGTCTTGAGTTTCTGTCTTTGCATGCAAATGCAAACATCCATTATTGAGGAAGCCTTGAACTTTCACTGACACTTCCCCAGGAATGAGAAGTGCTTATCATGGTTAAAGGTCTTGCCTTGGTGTTCATAATTTTTCTGATGTTTGCCAAAACACAATATCTATGGTTAGCAATGTGTTGCTATAGGATGGCAACTCATGTAACCAGTGCATGTATCACACGGATGGCATTTGTACTATACATTGTCAGGGTTTTCGGTAGCATTTGGAAGTACCGGATGTAGTGGTTCAGCTGGCGGACGTGCATCGTTCGCGCCGCTGGCTCGAACGTTGAGTGCCAGAGGCACAAACTCTTAGGGGGTCCGGGGGCATGCCCCCCCTTCCCAAGAAATTTGTAAAATTAACTCTCTAAAATGCAATTGCCTGCATTCCCAGAGATGATGTACAAATGAAAAGTGAGAAAGACCGATTCGGACAGATGCTCTTTGATCAAAAATCAGGGTCAGTTGTCGGCGAACTTGTCTGGTCAGTTATAGCTTGCAGGGGAGGGGGAAGGGATGGGAAATGATGAATAATGATTTTATCATGCATGTGTATGACAGGGATTATCTCTTTTTTTTTTCGATTGTGTACATTACATGACCAAGTTAGTAAAATAGGGGTCAAGTCTTTCTTTGGTTAATATATGGAAAAAACGATTTTCACACTTAAAAAAATTATTATTTCGTGTGTGAACTACCGGACGATAGATGTCAAACAACCGGACGTTGCGTCCGGCGTCCAGCCTGAAACGAAATCCCTGCATTGTGCTCTGATGACTGACCTTGGATGGCTTTTCCTCTTGCACTCTTAACTCTTTCGATTTTATCGCTGAAGTTTCAATTGCCTCTGGACAGCTTCCTGTTAAGACCTCTGATTCTCAAATGGCATTTTAATCTGGACTGGTTGACAGGTGTGAATTGATGAAGGTGGCAATGGTAGAGTCGAGTAACTTCTGTGGGTACCGAAATTTTTGAAAGATATTCTTTTAAGAATATCTTTCAAAATTTTTTAGTACCCACAAATTAAAAATTTTTCGTATTCCTTTCTGAAAATATCCAAGGATTAAGAGCTGTTGTATCATGGTCTTACGGAATGCTCTTTTATCTTTGGTCCAGACGTGGTAGCAGACGTGGAAGTAGTTGTCTCCCAGGATAGTAATATAATTATGGCGGGAGATTCATCCTTGCCTCAAGTGGGTTCTTCCGTCAGTCTCCCTGAAGACTCATTTAATGTAGCAATATAAACAACTACTTTATGCTTTGTTTGCAAGTGGACCAGTAAGGAGAGGAAAGTGACATTTTCAAGGATCAAAAGGGAAAACTTTGTGGATCTACGTTTTCCATGACAAGAATAACGCCAGTGCTTATTGCTGTCTCGTAACGATGTAGTGAATTTTGGATATTGAGTTGTCAAGGATTCAGGATGTTGCTAGATGACACTGAGCTGTGTTCCTGACAACTGTAAATCTTTCCCCTTTCTATCCACAGTTCTCAAGGCTTAAAGTGCCTATGACACGAAAACTTTTTTTGTACTTCTTTCGCTCGTCATATGTACAAACCAATTCCAATAGATAAAAAATTCAAAAAAGTTAAATCAGGGTTTTTTCGGGCCCTAACGTGCTCCTATTTCGTCTAAAAAGTGTCTCGTACACTGGTAACGAGTTAGCGGGTTACGATTACTTACAAAGCTCTCACATCTCTTGTAATTTCGTATTAGTCAGCGTTGAAATACTTTTGAAATAATGTCTGATAGCGATGTATACCTACCCTCAGTAAGCTCTACCGCGGTTGTGATACTCAAGTAGTACTGAAGGAAGAAATGGAAGTTGCGAGCATGGTTCAGCCCTACGAAAGAGAACCGAGTGCATCAAACCAACATTTCGATGAAGACTGACAAAGGCGGCTTCTCGCCTGCGGTGATCAGGTCAAGATTAGAACAAAAAAATCCCGTCACTGAATGTCAAGTTCATTGCGTTTGTGTTTTTTTTCTGTGGCGAAATCTATGGTAATGGCCCTAACATATTACTTCGCACTAAGTGCAGCGAAGGTTCTCTTGGTCGGTGCTCTAGAGTCAGTAACCTCCTTTCTCCACCATAGTTGCCGCGTCTTTACAGTTTTCTGCGTCACAACTACTTAACATGATCGTTTTGGCCACGCGCTAAATGAGGACACTTTTTGGCCGCCAAATGGTATTTTCAATGCGTAAAAAAATGGTTAAGGAGGACTCGCTAGGCGCTGAGGTCGATGATTTCAAATTTTAAATACAACTATTTATTAGAAAACGCAAAAAAAATTCATCATAATTATCACTCTTTGCTATTCTGGCAAATAAGGTGATATCAATGACCAGTTCTGTAGTGATTCATGTTTCAATCAGGAGAAATTGATTGACATCAGTCTTGGATACTTCATGCTCAATACACGGCGGTTCCTTGCAACCTTCTTTTTCACTAAAGCTAGTAATTTTAACCATGCTCATCTCCACTGGATGAAAAAGGGAAAATGATAATTTTTCTAGGTCTTGGCCGTGTTCTAAATTGAAACAGCACAGCCGGCTAATTTAATTTAACTTTTTATGTCAGGCACGATTCTTTGTATGAACGCAACCATGGACCCTGATTTGTTGAAGTTGGTACAACAGCACGTTCATGATCTGATGACAGATGTAGAAAAGCTGACGTTTGAGGTGCAAGAGGACAGAGAACGATTCTCACTGGCACTAGCAGAAGTTTTATCAAATCTAGAGGAAATGGAAACAAGACTTGATCGGATGCAGGTCGAGCAAGAAGCCATCAAACGAGATCTGTCACAGAAAATCGAATGCGTAGAAACACGAGTCTCACTGCTGGAAAATCAAGGTAAGGAAAGTCAAAACAAACTATAGTGTTATTCGTCTGACTATGAGCTTGCTTATATAGCAGATGAACATGGTTTGGTTTTATCTATCTGCGACAAAAACTTTGCAAAGTTTCCTATGAAATAAGAACACAGTGATCCCGTCGGTGCACTAACTTTACCCCTTTGTATCCGCACCCACTGTGATTTTATTATCGAGGCGTGAGCATTCATGCTCTTGAATCCAACTGTCAAGTTATTTTTTAGCAATAAATAAAACTGTCATTTGATCCGTAAGGTCACGCGCGTGCTTTTAATGAAAAACACGATGAACAATCCAAAGAGATGTGGGCTAAAAGAAGAACGAAACGAGGCGTCGATCATACGATAAAATGCTCATTGACTGTCTAAGGTCAGGATAGACGCAAAAGTACTTAGCTCTCGGTCGTGGAGAACGAACCTTGAGCCAAATATTCACCCTCCAGCCCCTCCACCCAGCCAATAATAATGTTATGATATTTATTACACCCATTTTGAAATCACTGGTGGTCCCTGTAATCCGATTGGCTCTAACTGGTGCGATTTATTCACGAATCGCACCATTTTTTGCTTTAAATCGCATCTTTTTCCCAGCCAATGCGCAGGCCACACTAAAAACAAAACAAGCAATCAGATTTTAAGGCTTGTCTAAAATAACCAATCAAATTGCAGGAAAATGAAAGACAAAGAGTATCATGTGGCAAATTTTGCAACTTTTGTTTCCAAAACTCTAATTTTTTCCCCCAAAAATGGATATATGGATCAAACCAGCTCAGTACTGCATCAACAAAATATTTGAACTAACCAAGTCCTGTTTTTGGGCGATTTCAAAATGGATGTAATAAAGTGGTAATTGAACCTCGTGTCATGTAATTTTGGTCTGAAATCATACTTGTGACTGCAAATCAAACTCGCGCTGCGCGCTCGTTCGATTTTGAAATCACGCGTATGATTTCAGCCCTAATAAGATACATGAAAAAATTACTCAGTTCTGATTGGTTAAGATAAATACAGTTTTCAGGTGATTCACTGCAGAAGAGGGTTCATTCAGTGCAAAGAAGTAACAAACCAGACATTCTGATGGGTCATTAGTCAAAAAAATTCACAGATAGCAAATCAAATGCGAGCCTTGGATGTCGCAACATTTGGATACGCTGAAAATTTGCGAGCAAAACAATGGCCGGCGTTTTAAGTAGGTTTTAATTTGCCACCGCAACAAAAATATAGCAACTGAAAAACAGCTCTAACAACGAAAACACTGTAAAAAGCACTGCTTTTTGGTTGTCGGTTTGGAAAAAGTGGTGTTTAGAGAAGGGAACTGCCAAGGAAATCGAGAATTACTAGCCGACCCAGCTTAACACTTTGCTCGAGCGATCCTACGCCGAAATTAAAAACAAACATGGTTAAACCGCGGAAACGACGATTCCATTTCATCGAAAGTGATTCGGACACAGACTGAACAGTTCCTTGAACTGTTTAGCCAGACTTTGAAGTTTTTTGCGCCTTATAGATGTGAAAATATCATTGTATATCTTTGTTTTGACATAACGCACAGTTTGAATAAATTATTTTTGCACTTGATGCGCGCACTTTGGTTCTGCATAATTATGATGAGCTATCTCGTATTTTTTCATGTATATTATTAATACGTAATCACATGATTTTTCTTGTGCAATTTGGAATAAATAAGCACTTGTTAATTTTTTCAAAGACCGCAAATTGCACTCCCTACGGGCTCGTACAATTTTGTTAGTCTTTGAAGAAATTTACTCGTGCTTATTTATTCCAAACTGCACTCGAGATCATTTGATTACCTATACGAATTGCACTCCGCTCAGTTCAATTACCATTATAAATCCAAGCTATAAAGTTGGAATGTCGTACGATTATAAAACTTGCTACTTATCGAATCATTTTTTTCTCTATTCAGAGGCCTGCAGTCCTAAAGGTTCAGAAGATGTGATATCTCAACAATGCTACAGCACAGTGTCTGAGGGTGGGTTCCTTGTGTCCCTCATCAGATTGTATAGTAAACATTAGTAATCAAAATAGTAATGATAGAGCTATCACTGAGTGATACAATACCAATGATCATTGAGCAGTAAGATCGAGCAATTTACATGATTCTCCCCATTATCCAGCCATAAATAGTATCTAGATTCGAAAAAAAAACGTCGTTCACTTTTGTCTTTCTTGCAGAGATTTCTGTGTTTGATGCTGATATCACATTTTTTGCCAAGCGGCTCGACCCAGACACGAGACAGTGGTTCTTTGATGATTTTAACGCCTGGTTCCGTGATCCTGGAAACTCTCGAGCTTACGTTCTACTTGGCGACCCAGGAGTCGGAAAAAGTGTTATAGCCGGAGCCCTGGCACAGCGAATGAGAGAGACTGGACAGTTAGGTGCAGCATACTTTTGCCGTCACAACGATGGTACCAGAAACGACCCCAGATATCTCCTTGGAACTGTTGCCCATCAATTGTGCGCCTGTAATGATAAGTATAAAGAAATTGTAGGGGGAGAGAAGGGGGTAAAAATGCTGTTAGGTAACTCTAAACTCGGTGTTAAGGAACTGTTTACTAAACTGTTACATGAGCCATTAAGTACGTGTAGGCCATGTCATCAGAAATTGTTAGTTATTATTGACGCCTTAGATGAGACTGAAAACGAGTCCAGGGAAGATTTTCTTGATCTTATTAAGCATCGTTTCCCCCTGCTGCCCGAATGGCTTGTGTTCTTTGTCACCAGTCGCCCTGAAGATTCTGTTCAATCAAGACTGAAGAGATACAACCCCTGTATTAAAATTTGTTCCGGTAACAGCGACCAGCAGAACTTTTATCAGCAGCATGAGCAAGATATCCAAACCTTTTTGAGAAAGAGGATTAATTTCCCTTGTGTTACCATTTCGGTTGACGATGTGTCCCAAAAATGTGACGGATTATTCTTGTACGCACACTACATTGTGGAAGAATTGAAAGACGCTCTTGTTTCTGGTAAGAAAATCAGTAATTTAAACGATCTTTTCCCGGGAGATATTGAAGAATTCTTCCTGCAGAATTTTCGCCGCGTCTATGACCACGTGGGAGAAAATATCTTCCAGAAGCTGTTTGGTTGTGTCGTCGTAGCTCCATCTCCGCTTCCTGTCTCGGTTATTTCGTTCATCCTAAACAGGGAAAACTCAGATCATGATGAGCAACAAGTGATCGATGCTGTATCGCAATTTTTGGTGTTACGAAATCCTGATCAGACGTTAACTTTCCTGCACAATCTGGTCCCAGCCTGGTTGACAAACGACACAAAGGCTCCACGCAAACTATTGATCTGTAAGAAGATGGCAGGTAAGTATCTTAGAGAAGTTTTTGTTGAAATTCTCTCTTCAATTATCCAAGAATCATCATCACCTTGCACATCCATTGACGTTAAGTTGAAGGACTATGTGATGCGCGTTGCGGTTAGCTTCCTGTGTCAGTTTGGAGGAAAAGATTGGCTGGAGCTTGTGTTTACATGTTTAACAAATTATCATTTCATAGAGAGAAGATTGCGCTCTGGAAAAATCGAGATATATCATCTGCTTCAAGATTTGAAGCTTGTCAGAGGCTGCCTGGATGTCGATGACAAAAAGAAACAAGATCTTCTTCAAGAGATTGCGCAGGTACTTTCATCAAACATCTTTGTTCTCGTTGAATGCCCGCAACTTCTGCACTCCTGTTTACGAACGGCCTCCAGTGCTGTTCAAGAAACTCTTCTGCTTTCCAAATTGCCAGTTCCTTGGTTAGAATGCACTGTTTTTGCTAAAGTAGACCCTGCAATCGCTGATATGAATTGTTTTGCCACATCATGTGATAAGAAGACAGTTGTTGGGGCCAAAGGTCGGTCACTTGTGTTTTTTGATGTACATAGAGCGCAAAGAGCAGATGGCCCTTTCGAGATAAGCCATGAGATCATTCACAATATCACTCACTTGGAATACTCTCGTGACAGCAAATTCATTTTTTTTGGTCGGCTTGACAAGTGGTTTTCTGTTGAGCGAAAATGCGTGGAGAATTTTTTTCAGTTTAATTGGAATGCGACAGTTTACCAGTGGGGGTTCCTTACTCGTGATGGAGAGTCCATTGTGGTTAAAAGAAACATGGAGGATTTTTCATGCCCAGGAAATACTTGTCTTGGCAACTTACTTGCTCTGTGGGCTGTGAAGGAGATTGAAGAGAGCCGAGATGATGTTACGAGTCTCTCTGAGGAATTAGTGGTCGAGGGACCAATTAAATGCTTGCTTAAATGTCTCTCATACAAGGCAAGGCCTCATGTGAATGCAACAAATCTTCTGGGCAGCTGCCGCTTTTGTCGTAAATTACTTTCACTGACAGTCGAAGGGTACAAAAAGATGTCCCTAACAGCGGTTCGTGAAAAGATCATAGAGATTTACCCTTGGATTTTCCAAAGGCAGATGTTGGATCTAAAGACTGGAAGACCTGTGTTGGAACGTGTGTTTTCGCGGGATATTCAGCTGGACCCATTTACTTACATCTGTCATGTGTCGTATTTTGTAAACAGAGGGGCAATGGAAATAGCGTTCTCTGATTTTTCAGTTTGTAACATTGCCATAATGACAGCTATTCGATACCTAGAGGGAATTATGAACCTCAAACTTGAGTGGGAACCACCTGTAGAGTTGAAGCCAGCAAAGATGTCAGACCTCAAGCCAGAACCTACCGTCAAACTGGAGGAGTTACTAGAGGATCTGCTGATGAGAGACATTACTCTGGGATTGACTGAAGAGCTAAAGCAGAGAGTGAACCTTAACCTTGAATGTGTATTGAGAAGAATCAAGGAGCTTGAGAATGTGACTAAAGAGCATGAAATAGAGAGCCTTGTAAAAACAAAATGTGAGCTGGAGAATGAGTGGAAAAGTAAACTTAAGCTAAAGCGCGAATTGGAGAATGAGTTAGATGTCCTACTACGCCGGAAGTGGGCTTTGAATGTTGAAGTGGTATTGATACAAGAATGTATGGCGCAGCTGGAGAGAAAACTGAGCCTGGAGGTGAAGCACTTGGAACCAAAGTTAAAGGAAGAGGTGGCGTTGTTACTCGAACAAGAGCGCGTGCTGGAGCAGGAGTTGATTGGGAGGAACCGGGATCTAGAAATCGATCAACGGGAGTTGATGCTACAACAAGGGCTGAATTTGACAGTTGAACGTGTTCGTGAATTGCAGAATAAGTTAGCTTGTTTAGAAGAACTAAAGCGGATGCCGGAAAGACAACGGGGACAGGAGCTCGATCAAGTGGAGTCGAATGTGAAACAGAAGCTGGATTTCCTACTTGAACAAGAGCGTGAGCCACGACACGAAATCGATGTACTGGAGTTCAGAGATTACCAAGTGCTGAAGTTAATACTCGACCCAAAGCACAGATGGAAGAGACAGCAACAGGAGTATGAACAGGATCTAAATGCTTCGCGACTTCGCTATTTCAAATTGGAACGTGAGCTGACAAGTACAGAATATGAGTGGGTGGAACACCGATCCCATGAGCTCAAACAGCTGGAGGTAAATGTAACAGCTGAGGAGGAGCTTAAGAGCTTACTTATCGAAGAACAGGAACTGATTGATGGAATCTTAGATAGAGTGTTTCCTGGGAAGCGTGAAGTGGAGAAAAGACTTGAGACACTAATAGAGAGGAAGGGAGAGCTTATGCATAAGATGGAGATGGAATTAAGTAGAAAGAGAGACCATGAGGTCAAAGGTGCGCAATGTTGGGCGACATGGATGGAGAAAGAGCTTATGCTCAAAGGTAGAGAGAATTTGCTGATGAAGGAATACCGCTGGTTTCGGCTAAATCTGTTGACAAGAAACCTAAAAAAGCAACTGGAACTAAGGCCGGATGCAGAACTGGGAGTATGGGAGTCGTATCTCAGAGTATTGAAGAAAGACAAGATGGAGATGCACCCTTACCTTGTGAAAGAATTCCAATACGGATCAATTAAGTTTGAGGATTATACGAATTTTCCAGAAGGGCTTCACGATGACGAGAGTATAGTCAACGAAGATATTCTCATTTACCTTTCACCAGGAGGAAAATGGGTTTTAGAGGCCGATGGTCTTCGAAACAAAAATGTTTTGCGAAAAAGAAATCGAGAGCTCTCGTGTGACCATGAAACGCTGCAATGTAATATTGGAAAATTCACGCGCTTTTCATTTACAAAGGATGACCTTTATCTGGTCTATTTGACCGATAATGGTTCGCTGCACGCTTTGTCCCTCGAAACAGGTACAGTTTTAACCAGTGTGTCCAGCAATCAAATTATTTATTTCACAAAGCAACACGAGTGTGGCTATTTGTTTTGCAGCGATACAGAAGAAAAAGCCATCCTTTTTTCGGATTTATCCAGCCCTTTCAAGTTTATTTCAGCATCACCATTAGAGTTGCCTGTGGTGGAAAAAACGATCGCAGCAGTCTTTTGCTCAACTAATACAGTTCTATCTGTTAGTTCTGATTTAAAGGTTTCCTTTTGGCAGACCGCTGAACCTAAAGACGGCTCTAGTTTCATTTCCCAGTCTCTTCACGACACGTCTGGCTTACAAGTGAAGAATTGTGCGCTTTCTCCAAACGGACAGCTTATTGCCATTCACCAAGGAAGCAAGTTAATGCTTTATACCGTTACAGATTTTAGCCTTGTGGAGACTCGCACAGTATTCACAGAAGAATTTGGTTACACGATTTCGTCCCTTACATTTTCAGGGGATAGTGCCTCACTCCTCTATTGTATCCGGGTTTGGCAAAGCTTTACGCGTGGCGATGTGTGGGACGTTGTGGGGAAGTTGGTGTCGAGTAGTGTGAAGTCGCAAGCATTGGTCGTTGTTGAATGTTGTTGCATTTCATCTGGCAAACAAGAGATTATGTTGTGTGGTAAGTATCAGATTGAGATCTGGAAATACGGTGAAAGGTCTTGTCACTTATTGACAACACTCCATATAGAGGAGATGTACCACTCTGTTAGGTTCAGTCAATGTATTGTCTCGTCTGACGACCAACTTCTTGTCTGTTGCATCGCGAACACAATTCTTGTCTATCGTCGAAATGCATTAGACATCAACTCCTCCAAGCGAGTCCTTCTTGGCCATCTGGGTAAAATCGAGTTTTGTCGGTTTCTTAAAGAAAATCGTTATCTTATTTCCTATGGTATCGATGGCATGGTTTTCCTCTGGGATACAATCGAGTTTAAAGCGGTTGGATTTGCAAGAATTCCACTGGACACCGTATGTATGGCAGTGTCTCCGGATGAAGAAAAAGCTGTTTGCTATACGTCCACCAATTTGATATGCCTGGTGAAACTCTGCAAACTGAAAAGTGACTTTTCAGTTTGGAGAGCTTCACCTTGGGGATGGACTTTAAGTCCTTCCCATTGGTGGGACGGCGACTATTCTGGTCAATGTTCTTTGAATTCAACTTTCACACGACCTCAAAAACGTTGCGATAACCTTGCTACAATGTCACTCAAGTCATGGAGGTGTTATGAGAGAATTTTTCTGGAGACCGCGTGAAATCAAAAAAATGTGGCACATGCCTAGAAAAAGCCCTACCTTCATACTTCGCTCAAAGATACCTTAGGGTAAGTCTATAAACGTGGTATAATTTTTTTGTTCAGAACTGTTTTTATTTTCTAGAAAATCACCAAACACTGTATCGAGCCCCAACCGCCATAACAGTGGCCGAAATGAAGCCGACGAGTAGGGCAACAAAAACGGTATTCTTCAAAAGCGCAAAAGAAAGCAAATCTTTCCGAATATTATCTATTTGTATACGAGGTATTAACAAATGATTTGAACCTAATAACGGGATTATTGATATAACTATGAATTATTGGCGAATATTTGAAAATAGCCAAAATTTGATTGATTAAAAATTTCATTTTGGAGCAGTTTTTCAATAAAAATTTTTCCAACTCGGTATAACTCGGAATCACTTGAGATGAGCATTTCTGAAAATTGGAAACAATGTTCTTTTCAAGGATATAAAAATTAATTTGGGGCTCTTAATTACTGCGAAGAAATAGCCCGATCTATTTCGTGCAAATCGCAACGCCGCCGTGTAAACAACCGCAGATAATCCAATTATTCTTTTATTATCGAAGCCATAATTTCTGCAAAATCTTACCGCTTTGAGCTGTGCTTTATCAGAAACTCAATATGTTACCCTTACCTTCTGAAACTAGTGATTAAGGAATGATGTTTCCATTATTTTTGTTTCAAATCGCCATGTTCACTTGAAAAGTGTTTACAACGTCCGGCTTGACCATTTACAATACTCGAAGCTGTTCATAAATCATCGCAGACCATCGCACCTCTTGACTTATTTCTGCTTCCATACAACTCCAGTATATACAAAAGTCTTTTTTGCACGATAAACCAAGATGCTTTCATTGCTTACAGTTTCAGTTAAGAAACGTTTGGCTCCCCAAATGGCACAACGATGTTCACCAACGAAGTCGTGTGTCATCGCTCATTTTTGTCACGCAATCACGCTAAACGTGCACAGGACACCCAGACAGGCATTCGTCTGCAGACATCGCTGTACCGAGTGCAGGGCCAACTAATATTTATTTCTTAGTCAGTGTTATGTTTTAAACAAAAACCTGCGCGAATTCACTTAAAAAACGCTGTAGATCTCTTTTGAGTGTTTTGAATCAGTGCCATTCTGAAAAACTACTTTTTGACGTTTTCGTAAATTTAGTCACCCCCTGGTACTGACTTACATGCGTTGTTATCGACTCTATTTCCACGACTTCGCGCTTGCAAAGATTATATTTATCAATAGGCACTTTAAGTATGACGTTTAACGGCAAACGGCAAACGCAAGCTTGCCTTTCATTTGGTTACCTATTTATGGAATTCTTAAAAAAAATCCTGCACAAAAAATAAAATGAAATAAAATAAAATAACACATTCACGACAAACACAAACCTACTTAATTCCGTGTACACACGCCTAAAGACAGACGACAGAAATTGAATTTTTGACGTTCGCGGGAAAAACAAACGTCATACGTAACCTCTCAAATGACGAACTTCCCAGTTAACTAAAACAACTGGAAGTTAATTGTCTAGTGCTCCGTGATTATATACATCACCTACGTGTCCCTAGTGGATCGATATGGTCTACCATGACCTTCAGTGGCAGGCAGACAGGTTCCACGGTGAGGCGTTCTTTTCTAATGACACTGGAAAAATTCTACCGACTATGTAAACAGAACAACAGACTAACAATTTCGTGCTTTATCTAAGCACTTTGAACGTTAAACTTCACTAAAAACGTAAATCTTCGAGTCACAAAGTCGGCCGCTTGTATCAGGCCGCGAGACAGTACGTGTTATTTGATATCGCCTGACTGTAGGTCATTACAATTACATTTTTTAAAGCTTTGGACTTACACAATCTCTGTTTTTTGTTTTTGTTGTTGTTGTTGTTTTTTTAAATTTTCCTTACGATAGCGTGCTCATCAATTTAAACCTTTCGATTTTGTACCTTGATTGCTACGATGATAATGGCCATCGCTAGAAACTTGACAGTTTTCTCAACTCGAACTCGGAAAAAGTTGTTTCCCGTCCCTTAATCAAACAATTAATCGGCCATTCTTTGAGATCCCGAATTCTCGACAAGACAGAGGCGGCGTACCCTCGGAGAGTCAAGAAATCTACCAGCTAACTGAATGGGTTTTATAAAGCAAAAAAAGAAAGAAAGAAAGAAAGAAAGAAAGATAGAAAGGAAGGAAAAGAATACAGTGTCATATACTTTAGGTGTTTTCCTGGTCAATGAAACCAATATTCAAGCTACGTGTAGTTCGTCACTGCTGACAGGTACAGCTAAAACAAAGGGCTTCGATCTTGCTCACGTAAGGCTGCTTACGATGAACGGAGATATCGCTGATATCAATGCTAAAAAATAAGCAAATATCCTTCAGCAATGAAATGGAAAAGCTCTTTAACTTGGACTTTGCTGCCATTTCACAAAGATTGTACGCATTATATGTGATAGGGCGTCTAAGCGCCAGTTCCTTTAAAGCCGCATTCGACAGCTCTTGGATTCTTGCTTCACTTGCAGCGGCCTCCAAGTCGTCATCCGACTGTTCCTCGTCATCCTGGAGGGTCTTTTTCGCAGCCAGTCGGGAAAAGAAGGCAGCTATTTGATTTGCTGTAAGGAAATCGTCGCTTGTAAACAGGCGGTTACCACTCGCATCTTTGGCGCTTACCATCGCACGTGCAACTGATGCAGGGTCTGCTTTCTGTCCTGATTGTTCCCCCAGTTTAAATTTGACAGTAAGATAGGCCTTCTGGCTGGAAGTAAATCTCTTTCGTGGAGCACCAGCCCTTAGTGCCCAGCCCATTGGTACTTTTCTGCACGAATCTGGTATGATGTCAGGTCTACTGTTTGCAATAACCTCTGGTACTGAAGGGGTCTCTCCCTCCAGTTTCTCTCCATACACCTTAACAGCTCTGTCTGTTAAGGTCTCGCGCTCTAGAGCTCGCTCGTGTTTACCACAATCTAAGTGTCGCTGCATTGAAGAATACCTTAGGAATGTCCGTGTGTGGTATCGCGCTTAAAAAATGCAAACAACGGTAATTTTAAATTCTGGATTTAAAACTTTTTCCCGGAAATAAAAAATAGGGGACAAGAAGGAAAGAAAATAAGAGCGTATTGGTAACCGAGCCTCCTTTCGAGTGACATGTTATTGCGTGACACCATCGCAAAAAACGAACATCAATGATTCACTTCATCTGTCAGGATGCTCTGGCTCGTTCTATAAAAAACAAACTTCCGTTCTTATTGTGAAAGGAAGACTTGTAAAATGTGAGTGTTCCAAGCTGAAATATGGTTTTAACTGTCCAGCAATGCGACGTTTCCGGCAGGAACCTTCGTGAGATGTTTTCATTGTGATTTGGTATACACCGCCTGTAGTGCTGTACTATCGAAGCTGTTGTCAAGTCTCTTTATAACAAGATTGAGGCAAGGAACCAATCTTAGAAAGTTGTTTTTCGCCAGGTGAGCTTAAGAAATCCAGTTTACAATCTAGTATAGGTCAAAGCGATAAGATTTTGTTGGAATTATGGCTTCGATAATAAAAAGCCTAATTGGATTATCTGCGGTTGTTTACATGGCGGCATTGCGATTTGCACGAAATAGACCGGGCTACTTCTTCGCAGTAATTAAGAGCCCCAAATTAAATATCCATGAAAAGAACATTCTTTCCACTTTGTAAAAATGCTCATCTCAAGTGATTCCGAGTTATACCAGGTAGGAAAAATTTTTATTGAAAAACTGCTCCAAAATGTAATTTTTAATCAATCAAATTTTGGCAATTTTCAAATATTCGCCAATAATTCATAGTTATGTCAACAAGCCCGTTATTAGATTCAAATCATTTTTTAATACCTCGTTTACAAATAGGTAAAATTCAGAAAGACTTGCTTTCTTTTGCGCTTTTGAGGAATAAAGGTTTTGTTGCCCTACTCGTCGACTTCATTTCGGCCATTTTATGGCGGTTGGGGCTCGATACAGTGTTTGGTGATTTTCTAGAAAATAAAAACAGCTCTGAACAAAAAAATTATACCACGTTTATAGACTTACCCTAAGGTATCTCTGAGCGAAATATAAGGATAGTTATTTTTCCGATCATGTGCCACCTCCCACGCGGTGATAAAAAAAATTCGCTCTTATGATCTTTTCAATGAACTACAAATAAGGTAACATCTAAAAAACTCCAAAAGAGGGCCCGTAAAATCGCGTTACTATCTACCGTTCGTGAATTTATACTCGGAAGATCTTAGTTCATAAATCCAACAGAAATACTTAAAAGGGAATTGAAAGGTGCAACAACACACAAAGAACCCATTCTTGAAAGGCAGCTTGGTGTTACTAGAGAAAATTTCAAAGGAAAGATCTCCTGGACTCGAATTTGGTCTCTTCTTAGTTTGTTCCACATATTTATGGAAAGGTGTTTTGTAGGTTAACTATATGTAGTTCCCTTCAAGACATTTGAGGGTTTAATTTTACCAGTATAAATTGGTTTTGAATTAGATGAACGTAAGAAACCAGTTCCCAAAAGGGTATTCTATTGTCAACAAGATGCTGGAAAACGAATTTGTTTTTAAATATCTTTCTTGGTTGATTACAATATTTCGCCCTAATAACAGTAAAACGACTAGGTAAAAGAAAGTCTGTGATCTATTGAAAACATGATGTTAATTACTGGAGCATGATATGATGCAGTTCAAGAGTTTTCATTGGCCGAGTCATATTGATTTGACCTAATTTATGCGCCGTTAGGATCGAATCTGAGCCAGAAGGCCCATGTATAATATTTTGTGGTATCTTTCGGTCTAAAAGCTCTTTCCGTCGCGCTGGTTTGTTGTGAGATGGTAGATAGCCAAATGGAGAGTGTGACCTTCGCGGGTTAAATACCATCTCCAAACCAGCGAGCGTAAGTAGGATAAGGCAACTTCCCGGGGAGTCTGCTTGGGAAGACATATATGTGAGTTATATTTACCGTAGTACAACCCTTATACTTTTAAAAATCGGATTTTTTTTATCAACCAAAGTGTTCTGGAATAGTGTTCGTTAGGTCTAGAGTTAAGCTGTGAAGTGAATCTCTGGTATCTTTAGTTTTTATAGCAGGTGGACCTGCACAGCTGTAATTTGTTTCTTTATTTGATTTTTAAGTAAGGGGTTTTGAATGGTCCACTTTACATACTAGCAATTGAAACAAAGATGGTCGAAGATAATATTACGAGATACGTTAACTATGGACTTAGATAGTCTTTATTTTTTGTCCTTTTTTATACACTATAAACTCTATAACAAAGTGTTTTCATAGGAATAGTTATGTAACAACTCAATTTCCTTGTTGCTGGTATATATGTTGTGGTTCAATTTTATCCTTAGTTCAAATTTTATTTTCCTTTGTTTCAAACTCATTATCATACATTACAATACCCAGAAACAAAAGAAAATTAAATTTGAACCAAGGATAAAATTGAACCACAACATATACAAAATAAGCTTAAATGCTTGTCTGCTATGGAAAGTAAGAGTAATTGTTATTCAAGCAGCTAAAATAGTTACATGTATGTTAACACCTATGCGTTGTAATAAATTGTTTTGCAAAAGTGTACGAAATTAGTGTTCTTAACTGTGTAAATCATTCAAAAAACCTTTGATTATGTGGAAATGTTTCGCCTTTTTGATCTTCACCCCTGGTTAGTCGCCGCATCCGTAACCATTCTTGCTTCTTTTGAGTCTGTGCTCTTAAGTGTTTTTGTTCCCAGAAAAACTATCGATAAAGCTACCTCTCTGTTGAAAACAGTCTCAAAATATCGTGGCTCCTCTACGACGCTCCTCGATTAAGTGCTGTAAGAACAACACCTGGCGTATCACAAAGGGCAATCAG